AGAACCCCCAGATGAGAGTCCAGCTGGCTGACACCTTGTTTTCAGTCCTGTGAGTCCCTGAGCCAGAGCCCAGTCCAGCCACACCAACTTCTGACCTACTAGTGTGAGATACTAAGTGGGTGTGGGTTTAGAACTCCAAGTTTGTTGTCACTTATTACACAGACTACAAAACTCACATGATCAGTTTCCACATGGCTGTGGAGGTAGCTGTCTTTCTGTTGGATGTTTCTGGATCCAGCTCATTTCCTTATAAAATTCCTAAAATGGCCACTTCTCCCAGCTCCACTCCCATGAGGATGAAGTCACACTCTGGGTGACTCTGAGCCTGCCTCTTATTCCTAACTCCATGGTGCACTGGGGGCTTGCTCCCATGAGTTTCAAGTTAGAGTAGAGGGACTTTTTGTCATTTCAGTGAGGAAGTAGAGGAGAGGCCTACACTTGGCTATAGCCTCAGTTCCTCATGAGCAGGAGGCAGGCGTCTGGTGGGGCTCTGTGTGGCCTCTAAAACCCTGCTGTGCACACACTGCTGGGATTGAAAGTCTGGGAGCAGAGGAACTCCCTCAGGTGCCTGCACAATCAACCCTAATATGGCTTGAAATGAGAAGTGGCAGTTTCCAGTTGACCAAAAGCCTAGTCCATAAGGTATGGGACTGTGGCCTAGGGCTGGGGAAAGGGCTTTGAAGGTAAAAGTCATGGGAGGAAGGTCTGAGCCTAAGGGCTAATTGTGAATCCCACAAAACAGGAGCTCTTTGGCTACTCCAGAAAGACAGGGTTCACCCTGAAGAGCTTTCAACTCTTGGTTCTACTTCTGTCCTCACCAGAAGCTGAGTGTATCCCACGACATATGTGACAGGCATGGGGATGGCTGTCCACCTAGCTGCCTGTAAAGTTGGCTTGTATACACCTTTCCTTCCTTCCCCTTCTGTTCCTTTTTGCCTTCCTTCCTGTATTCCTTTTCCTCAGGAAAAACTATCATGTTTTTATGGGAGATGGTGTGCTCTAGCACTGAGACAGAGCCCCTGGAAGGCTCCCTCTATTCCCTTCCTTCCTTCATAAAACACCCGGAATCCTGCTACTTCCTGCTTTTGCTGATGAGAACCATTCATTTCTGGAACCAATCAGTTATTTCTGTTCTAATAAACTAATGTCTTTTCTTGCTGAGAAAACTCCAATCAGGCCCTTAGCTTTATCTCCTTGTTCTTGGAAAGAGATCCTGTGCATCTGGGAGCCCAAATCTCTTTTAATGGGGCAGTCTTGGGCTTCCTTTTGTAGGTTCCAGGCCCAGGGTAGCTACACTTAGGGGCTGAGAAAGGGCTAGGGAGGGATGGAGTCAGAGGAAGGAGCTGGGTGGAGGTGGGGGGACTGTCTGTGACTGCTGCCCTAAGCCCCCTCCGTAGGTTTGGGAATGAGTTTGTAGATTTGTGGCTTCGCTGTACTTAAGAAATCTGCCTATACACAGAATTTCTTCTGCCCCAGGGCTGTTTTTCTTTTTTTAAAACCTAAACAAAGCAACAAGATCAGAATGACGCATACAGACATGTGTAAATGTTCATGTGTTAAGATGAGCTTGTGAGTGATCACAGGGATTCCAAGTGTGACCCTTCCTGATTCCCCATTGCAGTCAGCAGGAAATGATGGCTGTAGGGCATTGGAGACAGGGGAGAGAGAACAGAGGAAGGAGGGAGGGCCCTCTGGCTCCTGACACAGGGCCTTGGTTGGGGCTGAGGGGCCTGGGCTTGCCAGGAAGTGTGTTCTGTCCTGACAGCCTGGGCTTCTCAAACACTACCTCACAGAGACAGCAGAATCTGGGGGTGGTATACACCTAGGAGGAGGAGGAACTGCCTGTGCTTCACCCTCTCCTGCCTCCTAGGATCCAGTCCTGGGGCTTAACGGTCAGAGGAAGCTACTTTAGAGGTACCTCCTTCCCCCAAAAACCTGTATGTGGGGCCCAGACTCCTCGTTCTTGTCTGATCGCCACTGTGGAACTCACCCATCCTGAGGCTGGAGGATAACCTCTGCCCTCCACTCGACTCCACTGAGAGCCCTGTCTGGACCAGGCCAGACCCATTGCTCCTTATTGCACCCAGGTCTTTCTTGTAAAGCAGAGCCTGCCTGTGTCTCCTGAGCTGTGAACTGGGGAGAATATTAGTGGTGGGGAGCTTGTGCCATGTCAGCTGAACCAGGCTGAGCCACACTCCCCAGAATTCCTCTGCCTGCTTGTTTCCTATGGAAGTGGGTCGCCACAGTGCTCCGTGGAGGGCTTGGGGTGGAAGGGGATCACAGCCACGTTGTACAGCTCACACAACTCTGCCAACTCACCCTGATGGTGTGCGGCAGCGGCTGGGTTTGCAACTACGTCATCTTCTCTCATGCCCAGGTCAGTGTTCAGCTCCAAAATAAAGGATTCTGTCTTTTCCTTCCTTCTTCTTCTCCTTCCCCTCACTTCCCAGTACTGAGGATTGAACACAGGACCTTCATACTGAGCTACATTCTTGCCCCTCACTCCATATTATTTTTGTTTTGAGACAAGTTCTTGCTAAATCACTAAGTTGCTCAGGCTGGGCTCAAACTTGTGATCTTCCTGCCTCAGCCTCCCAGAGAGCTAGGATTGTAGGCATGCACCACCATGCCCAGCTAAGAATCCTGGTTTCTTTCCCAGCTACCTCCCCTGGGAACTTCAAGCTCCAGCATCAGACCTGAAAACAGCACTGTTATTGAGTATGCCTACGGTCAAACCCCTGTAAGAAAGCCATATATAATAAGATACAGCCATGCCTATACATGTACCCACACTTAAATCTTCATCTATTTATATCTGTACATGTTGAACACTCCTAATGTGAAAATCTACAATCTAAAATGCTCCAAAATCCAAAACTTTTTGAGTGCCTGCACAAGTGGAAAATTCCACACCTGATCTCATGGGATGAAACATCACTCAAAATAATTAAAAATATCATATATAATTATCTTCAGACTAGGTGCACAAGGTATATCTGAAATACAAATGAATTTTGGGTTCCATACCCAAGATATCTCACTATATATGCAAATATTCCAAAATCGGAACCACTTCTGGCCCCAGGCATTTTGGATGAAGCACACAGCCTCGGTATCAGTCTGCTTCTCTGGCTGAGTGCTGACCAGTGCAGGTAGTAGTACATCCTACCTCCCAGGCTGGGAAGTGAATGGAGCTCAGACACTTGAAAGTGTTCGGTCACCAGAAAAAGGTTGGTCTCTAGCCTGAGCACACATTAGAGTCATGTGGATTGGGATTGCTGGATCCCACCCGCAGTCTGATTCTCAGGCCCTGCCTGGGAATCTGCATATCTAACAGTCCCCAGGTGATGCAGCTCCTGCTCCTCTCCGAACACCTTTTGAGAATAAGGTGTTATGTACAAGGGTGGAGCTTACTGCCACTCACTGGGCATCCCATGGGGCACTTGCAGCAGTGCCTTCCCTGTAGGCACCAGCAATCTTGGCAGTCTGAGGGCCCTGCAGGATTGTGGGAAACAAAACCCTTGTAGGATGTTCTCAAGTCTGACTCAGAGGGGGAAAAATAGCAGAGCCTAGCTTGGGGCAGGTGGACCCAAGTGTGAATCCTAACCCTTTTGTCCTTTGGGCAGTGTCCTGGACAAATGTCCTGCTCTGTGATATAGGGATGATGGTGTCTCATAGAGTTTTCATGAGGCTGATGCATATAGAATACATGTTCAATAAACATTGCTTGTCAGATTTAGCTATTATGAGTTGTGCTGCTATAAACCTGGGTGTGCATGTATCACTGTAATATGATGTCTTTCACTCTTTCAGGAAGATACCTAGAAGAGCAATAACTGGGACAAATGGAATTTCTAGTTTTAGTTTTTTTAGGAATCTCTATACTTATTTCCATAGTGGTTATACTAGTTTACATTCCCACCAACAATGTAAAAAGCTTCTTTTTCCCTCACAGCCTTGCCAGCTTTTGTTTTTTGATTTCTTGACAACAACTGTTCTTTCTGGAGTAAGTTGGAATCTCAGTGGTGGATGGATAAAGAAAATATGGTATTTACATACACTGGAGTACGACTCTGCCATAAAGAAAAATAAATTTGAGTCATTTGCAGGCATGCACCTTGAGACCACAATATTAAGTGAAAGAAATCAGACATGCAGCCTTAAATATTGCATGGTTTATCTTACATAAGAAACTATGGAGCAAAACAAAGGATAGTAATAGGAAACAGGGAGATAGATCTTTGGCAAATGGGCAGGGGACAAAGAGATAAAGGGGAAGGGAAGGAGGAGAAGGAGGAGGGACTGAAAAGAGAATGAAGATGTGCTGTGTATGCATACCAACTTCCCACGAAGAACATAAGCACATGTACTAATGAAAAATAAAACTTGAAAAAAAACCCACTACTTCTTTATGGGCTAGATTTTGCCACTGATGACTTGGAAATGTGCAGATGAATTTTCCAACCAAAGTTCCAAACTTTACATTTACTCCTATTTGATTAATTTTGCTGGTTTTAATCATCATTCCAGTCTGCCACGATACTCCTGAGCCTTTAGGTTTTCCTTTGGCATGTTAGTGGTCCTGCACTGGTTCCCAAGCAACCATCTGGCTGTTCCTGCATTGCCACCGCTGACATTAGATTGCATGTTTCAAGGGGAACAAGAGGTAAGGGAGCAAGACTGCTCCTGTGGCCAGGGAAGACTTTTTGACTCAGTACTTTGGCAACTCCAGCTTGGGAAGCAGCCCTCATAGTTTCTAGTGAGTTTTTTTACCGTAATTGAAAACATCAACTTTGTGGGGAGGCTAATTTTTGAAGTGACAGAGGACAGAAGGGGTCTCCTGTACTTACCGTGCTGGAGACAGTAGACCTAAGTCACCGTTTCTAGTTCCATGGAGGCCTAAGGGAGGAGCTTTGAGAGGCGGTGCTTGTGGGGCTCTCCGCTCACGGACTCTTTCCCTCAAGAACAAACTACCAAAAAGACAGAGAACTTCGGAACAAACTTCTTATACTATTTAATATCCTTGGGACTGGGATGGACTGAGGCCTGAGGGAAAATGACAAGGTGTTTGCCAGTAGAAAGCCAAACAAGGTCCTCATCCACTGGCTTGAACTGGCTGGACTGCGAGCTCACCAGGAACTTTCTCTCTCACAGTGACTTTCTCAGAACATTCTTGAACCATGCTGCCTTCTTACACCCTGACTTGTGGTGGTTGGTTCTTCTTTTTTACTTCTGCCCAGATGTCCGATAGGTTTTGGATAAACTGCTGAATCTGACAAGACAGAGACCAGAGTTAACCCTACCCAGCCAGAGACTTCCCCATCCCAAGATGGATCATGTTGTAGGAAGGAATTTACTGCTTTCCTGAGACTGACTTCTTAAGGCAGTCATGTTGCCTCATTTGACAGTTTTTCTAGGTTAAATAGAGCATCTGGTTTAGCAGATTTAAATCCATACACAGGAATGGGTTGGGACCTCCTAAAGGCAGACACAGTGATAGTATGAAGAATGGGCTGCAGTCCAACAGAAAGAGCAAGAAAGAGAGAGGATTACAGATGGGATGAGGAATAAAAGCATTTACCAGGCAGGGCCCAATCCAAGTAGGGACACCCTCAAGGTGAACTTGGAACCTAGACCCAACTGATGCTCATTATGATAATCTTGAATCTATTCATTAGCTTCTGTTTTGAAGAGCTTCCAGTAGGCATGACACAGTGCTGCCTTTGGAGGTGAGAAGACCCAGCTGGGCTCCTGATGCAGAAGCTCTGGGGAAATCACTTCATCTTTCAGGAGTCAGCTCCTCCTTCTTCCTCCTCCTCCTCCTCCTCCTCCTCCTCCTCCTCTTCTTTCTCTTCCTCCTCCTCTTCTTCCTATTCCCTCTCTCCTCGCCTCGTCCCTCCTCCTCCTCCTTTTTACAGTGCTGGGAATTAAAGGCAAGCTCCACTACTGAGCTACATCTCCAGGCCAGTTTTTTCATGTTTACAAAGGGAAGAGGTGAGCTAGGGTGTAGCTCATGAGAGCATGTCCTTAGCATGCATGAGGGTCTGGTTCAAGTCCCCAGCGCATAATAAACAAACAAACCAGAAAAATTTAAAGGAAAGTGGGAGCAAAGGTTGGCCCTGATACCTTCTAGGATCTCAGTTCTAAAACTTCTTTTTCAACTGTCTCTGTAGAGAGCATTACACAGACTTTGTCCAAATCTCTCAACAGCCCTGTCAGCTACAGATATAGTTACTATTACTGATTCTTGTTTTACAAATGAAGAAATACAGAGCCAATGAATTAAAGCAACTTTCCAAATATTACAGAGAAGACAAATTCAGCATTTCCCAAACTGTGCCCTTATATTAAGTGGTCACACAGCCCAAAAAGGGCTCTATGGCCAAGTAAGCTTTAGAAATAACATCTGTTTGAGGGTCTCAAAGTGCAGAGTTGTAATAAAGACTTCACCAAATCCTGTACTGTTTAAATCTGAACTTTAAGTTACATTTTTCTAGATGTATTAGTCTGTGGGGCCCTTTTGTTCCCTCATAGGAAAGAGTATCTTGAGATCATAGGATTTGCTAAGCAGTTTGGAAAATGCCGCTCTGGGTGGTTTATTTAGGGCTTATTCTAGACCCTTCGCATTTCATTCAGATTGTCATGGTCTTTTCCAGAGTTGTTCTGTGTACCATGTTCATAGTTCTGTCTAAGATCTGCTTTGAAGCCTGTGCCTGTAGCTGTTGTAGGACTATTGTTGAGAACATTATTCATTGAGTGTCTCTGAAGCCTCGCTGAGAAATTTCAGTTAGAACTAAGTGTCTGGGAAAGGTATGTTCCCCCTGAGTAAACTTTATATTTTCTTATTTTGGTACAAAAACTGTATGTTCCTTTACATCTGTTTATCAGGAAGCTCAGAGTCACTATTGTTCCCGTTGAAGGCCCTGATAATCTAAGAAGCCACTGTACAGTGGACCCTTGAGTTACGACTGGCCTGACATATGAACAACTTGGGTTACAATCAGAATTTTAGTTTTAACTTATGACCAAAGTATTGAGTTACGACTCAAATGCAGGCTGCTTGTGCTTCCAGATGGTCTCAGATAGAGTTAGCCCTTAAAGAGTTCTGGAAGGAACATGACAACACCCTTTCCTGTGTGGGGTTAACTGAGAAATCCTGGGCCAATGTCTCTCTAAGGACACTGAGATCTGTCTGTATACAGGAGAGAGACTTTGAAGGCTGTGTAGAGGAGCCTGAGCCTTCAACTGACCAACCAGCCTTTGGGAACAAATTGAGCTCATAAGTCAAGGCTCTACTATATTTGTATTTATCTTTCTAGTCCCGATCTCTGATTTTAACTTATATGTCTCCAGATTCTTTTTTTTTTCTTTCAGGCTACTTGGTAATGTGTATTCCTGCCAGTAGGCTCATATCCTATGGGAATGAAGGGAGATATTTTAAGATCACTCTTGGGTAATATGAAGTACTCCTGTATAAACAAATCAAGGCTGAGATTTTCTGAATCCAAATTCAGAAAACAATCAAGCATTCAGAAAGCTCAAAATTTGGAATGGAGAGACTGGAAGCTCTGATCTGACTGGGGGCAGGAAGCTGCAGGTCACCACCTCCTAGAGCACAGCTAAAGGGAGGGGGCTTGAGACCCTACTACAGGGGACAGGGTATCTTTTCACAGTAATACTAAGGCCTTATTAGGCCTTTTAATGTGTGTGTGTGTGTGTGTGTGTGTGTGTGGTATTGGAGATTGAACCCAGGGTCTTTGCACTGAGCCATATGCCTGCTTAGCCCTTTTAAAATTTTTTATTTTGAGACAGCATCGCGCTAAGTCACCAAGTTACGTAGGGGTGCTCAGACTTGTGATCTTCCTGTCTCAGTCTCCAGAGTTCTGGGATTATAGGCTTCCGCCACCACATCCAACAAATTTTTGTTTTAAGTTCCAATTTGGTAAAAAAACGTTCAACAGAAATGAACTCTGTGTGGTCACTGGTAAGCTTTAAGAGGTGACAATAACCTACTGCAAAGCCTAAGAGTTTCTCCTTCTAGAACAAATTTTTTTTTATCAATTCCCTTCTTTGGACAGTAAAATAATTCTGCTCTAGTATGTCTTAAGATGAAGCCTGCTTTAGGGAAATCCTTCTTCCTAGGTGGTCAACCTTTTAAATTTCATGAGTTTTGCTTTTCTTCATCTGTTTTAACGGGGCAAGAGCCCCTTACTCGATTGCTTGTTGGCTTGTGCCTCATATCTTTTTACCAAATACTTCTTTTGTGTCTAGTACATGCCAGGAATTGTTCTAGACACTAGGGGATAGAGCTGGGAGCAAAACAAACAAAATCTCAGTCCTCAGGAGGTTTCTGATAGTTCACAGTAGAGCTAAGGGCTTTTGCAAAGGAACAGATAATTATTTGGTCACGGTTCTGGGTATGTCAGAAGATGCTCTGCTCATGCATTTGCTGGTGCCAAGTTTCCCGAAAAGTATGATGTGTGTAACTTCGGTCATGATGTTGGGTGGCACAGGAATATGGATGACATTAAATAACTGAATCATACAATGAAAATTCTAACTCCTTTTTAATTTTCTTTCCACTGGTTCAAAGAATGTTTCAGATTAGTGCTAACACAATTTTAACATTTCTGTAAACTTGCCAATTTTCCTTTTTTTAAAAAAAAAACCAGAGTGGACCTCAAGCACAAGCCTTTAGCAGTTCCCAGTGTCTCACTGGAATTTATTAAGACTTTTGTACAACTAATGGATTCACTATTGGGTCCCTGCTCTTGCCCCGTGGTTTGGGACCAAAAAGCACTGATGAAGTGGTTCTCAAACTGTGGGACCCCATTTAGCAGCCTCACTTGGGAACTTGCTGAATATGCAAATTGATGGATTGTCATCTCAGACCTACTGAGCCAGAGATGGGAGCTGGGCCCGGGGAACAGGCCTCATGCCCTCTCCAGGTGATTCTGATGCTGTTAACAGGTGAGAGCCACTGGCTCTGTCTCAGTTTCCCCAATCAACCAATCCAGAACCTCCTTGGCTAGCCCAACAATTGGCCCTAGTACCCACTTCTGCCTACCATGTCCAACTGTTTGTGAGTGTCCTCCAGGGACACCTGGGTGGCCTCCTTCAGCTGCTTGCTCACGACCTGGAAGAGGTTCAGGGTTGCCATCTTAATGGTGCCCAGCAGGAGGGTCTTCTTAGCGGCAGTGTTCTGGATGTGTGCCCAGCGGGACTCCTGAGGAGGGGATGCAGGAAGACGTGAGCTTGGTGCGCATGTGTGTATTGTGTGTACACATACCCGGGCCTGGGGCTTCCCTACCCAGAGCCCCGGGACCCTCACCCAGACAATGACGTCACTGCGGGCGCGGTCAAAGCGCATCTGCAGCCTCGCCAGCTCATTGTTGTGCTGGAGGATCTCATTGTCCTTCTCCTCCATGTAGCGTGCCAGCCGTGTCTTGGCACGCTCAATCTTCTCCTGGCCCTCCCGTGTTGACTGCATGAGGTCGTGGTGCATGCTCACCAGCGTCTTGTAGCGCCCGATCACCTCATGGATCTCTTCAAACTGAAGCGGGTAGGGAGTTTGGTCACTGCACTGCCAGACCCCAGGGACTGAAGCAGTCGTCTTAGCTGGGCCCTGACCCGGACACCTGGATGCCTGCTCATGTAGGCCCCTGGACAGGATCAAGGGCACAGACAGTGAGGAAATAAGGGCCCTGATGCCTGCTTCTGGGTTTGTAGGGGCCATGGAGGGGGGGTAGGGGGTGGGGGCTGGGGGGTTAGGGTATGCACAGCTGAGCCAGGGTTGTCAACCTTCGCTGTATCTTAGAATCATCTGGGGAATTTTAAAAGGATATCAGCAAGCTTCACTCCCAGAGGTTCAGATTAAAAACAGATCTGAGGTGACCCCTGGCATCTGAAATTTGCAAAAGATCCCCCAGGTGACTCTAGGCACAAGACTTGAGAATTGTGGGTGCAAGCCATTTGGAGATGTTTCCCAGGGCAATAATTCTCCTAGTCACAAAAATTTCCCAAGAGCAACTTACAAGCCAGAGGCTGTGCTGCAGGGAGAGAACATGAGATAAGAAAGCTAGACCTTGCTCTGCTGAAGCTGACAGCTTGAGGGTTAGAGGGAGGACAGACAGAGAAGCAAACCATTGGGTGAAACACACAGGCTAAGCCCTATGTAGGCTTAGGGGTAGGGTGGCACTGAGAGTGGGCCAATAACCTCAAGCATGGTAGTTGTTCTACATTTTCTAGGGGAAAAGCTGGGCCAGAGAGGGGGATCCCGGGGTGGCGGGGGGCCCACCAGGCTCAGCTCACGTCTTCCGTGTTGGTGCATGCCACTCTGGCCCTGACTGGCAGTCCCCACCTCGTAGAACAAAAGCCATGCAACCCCTCACCCTAGACTGTGATCTCCAGTTCCATGAGGCCAATTCACCTCCCCTGCGGGCTTATCACAGTGTGACTTCTGGCCCCCAGGACACACTCCCCAAACACTTCTCCACATCATGACATTTCCAGTGAGAGGTTAGTGTCCTGGGAATTGCCCTGCTGGCCTTTTCCTATATGCCTCTTGGGAAATGGGCCCCCCAAACCAGCATTGGAAAAGGCAAGTCTAGCCAGAAAAGGTTTCCCCAAAGAACAGATGATGGAAATGAGACTGGAAGTATGAGCAGAAGATAGCCAGGCAAAAGCGGGTGGAGAAGGTGAGGCAGTGTTCTGCGGAGAGAGAACAGCCTCGGTACAGACACAAGAAGCTGTGTGCAGCATATTTGGGATACTCAAGGTGGCATAGTACAGATGGTCTGAGTTCCAGACGAGGAGGAAGAGATGGACCTGGAGAGGTGGCACAAGCTATAATCCCAGCTACTTGGGAGACTGAGGCAGTCTGGGAAACTTATCAAATCTGTCTCAAAATAAAAATAAATAAAAAGAACTGAAGGTGTAGCACAGAGCTCCCTGAGCATAATCCCTAGTACAGGGGGTGGGGAATGGCTGCCTAGTAAACTATGGAAGGAGTGTGAACTTTGCCACTAAAGGATTTTAAGAGGCTCAGAAATAACTTCATGTCTCAACGTCCTAAAGTTTTCCAGGTGTATAATGCAGCAGCACACAGAGTTAAAGTGAATGGACTACATCAGAGCTCGGAGGAAGGAATCACGAAATCTTATTCTGATGTCAAAAGGATTTATGTGCTGACTTAAAGAGGGTCCGACTGTCCAAAGAGGGGACAATTTGAAAATTAGTAAGCATATGATTAAAAGGTATTAAATATAACAAAAATCCATGAATACATAATAACACTAAAAGTTAGGTCCTTTTTAGATGACGAATGGAAAACCAATTCATTATTCTGAACACTATAAAGAAGCAGGCATTTAACCAGCTTTTTCTTTCTAAGTAGATGTCCAAGGAAAGATTCTCCTTTTTTAAACATATTAGTGGAATCATACAGTACATCCTTTTGTGTGTGTGTTTGGCTTCTTTAGCCCAGAATAATGTCTGTGACACTTAAGAAACACATACAGTATGAGGAAACTAGTTTGACTTTGATTGGAACAAACTGTCTATACAAAAAACATTATTACGATAACTAGCTGGCTATCTGATACTACGGAATAGCTATCGAATTTTTAACAAGTACAACAATGGCATTGTTGTTACATTAAATGGAGCTTTCATCTTTCAGAGATAAAAACTGAAATACTTATGGGTGAAAGAAATATCATTCATTTCAAAATGGCAGCAGTAAGATGTGGGGGATATGGCTATAATTCCTGAACTAGTTGATGTGTGATGGACATTCAATAGACTGTTTTCTCTATTTCTGTTAATGAGAAGTTGTCCAAAATATAAAGTTTCTTAAAAATATTGATTGGTACAGGACAGTTTGATAGAAAGAATATTTCTAAGGTTCTGTGGCACAATAGAATAACTATGGTTGACAACAATTAATTATCATGTCATGAGCATTACAAATTGCATACACATATTAAAAATGTCACACCAGACCCCACAAATAGATAAATTATTATGTGTCAATTAAGTATAGAAATATACTTAAAACTATTGAAAAAGCAGGTAACAGAAGGATATGCATAATAATGGTTTATGAACAGGGGATAATGTTGCAAACTAGTTAAAACAGGCATGAAATTTAGAAACTTAAAAAACACGATACTGGCTACTCCCAAGGAGAGGGGAAGAAGAATGAGATTTAGAAGGACATACAAGGGCTTTCAATTTCCAGCAGTGTTTATTAGGATTTGACAAAGCTGTGTGGTGAGCTCTTGGGTTATGTGTTTCTCTATACTTTCCAGTATGCCTGAAATATTTTGAACAAAATAAAATGTGTGTGTGTGTGTGTGTGTGTGAGAGAGAGAGAGAGAGAGAGAGAGAGAGAGAGAGAGAAAGAGAGACCAGGAAGGCTGTAGAATGTGAGCAGTCTGACTGGGAATGACAGAGTTGAACTCCAGATGGGGCGTACTGAGTAGGGAAGGGGCAGCGGCTGGATTCCAGAAATACTTAGGAGGCAGAGTTGACCAGATCTGCTGATTGATGGCTGCCGAACTGAGCCGGGGGAGGAGTCAACCATGAGGACTGGGTTTGGGCAAGGCTGGGGTGGGCGGTCATGTCACTCAGCAGCATGGGACACACCAGCCCCAGACCTGGCCTGGGGATGGCAGAAAGCAGATGGATTGTGGACAAGCCAAGTTAGGCACAAGAGGCTGAAGTTTAGAGGGACATAGCCAGTTTCCTCAGTTCTAAGATGACCATTTTACCAAGACTTCAAGACGTGTCTTACAATTTTTCTGCTGCTTTAATATAGTGGTCTTTTCTTCCCACTTTCCCCTCAAAAAGCTCCTCTAATCATTACGTGAACAATTTATCTTACAGTACATAGAACCTTAGAATGGAGGAAATGACACAGATTTGGGATTCATGTACAAATAAATTAGGTTAAATAAATTAGAAGCTGCAGGGGCTTAAAAAATCTGTGTGCCCTTTGTCTGCCTGTGCCCCTCACAGGACATTGACCCAAACCCTGTTGCTGGCCCCATGGGAGAGGAGAGGACACTCGCTGGTGTGGTTGCGTCACAGAGTCAAGGGCAAATGTAGGTTTCATGGAGGAGCAGTGAGAGCATCAGTGCTTCAGGAGACGTGGGTGGGAAGAAGGCTGAGAAGTTCCCTGAATTCTGCCTACAGGGACATCAGGGGAGCAGGAGTCTGGGGCACTGTGGGGCCTAAAGAAGAGAGCTGAAAATCCCAGGCTCTTCCACTTATGAGCTGAAACTTTGTGCAGGTTATCTAACCTCCTGAGCCTTCACGTCCCTGTGTAAAGGATAATGGGGTCACTTTCCCCTCTGGGCTAATGAGAGGATGGACCAACTGCAGGCCTAGAGGCACGTCCAAATCTCCGAGGCTGGCAGAAATGCCGGCACGTCTTAAGCACTCCAGCTCTGCGGTAGGTTGGGTGCTTTTCCTCTCTGCAGTTTACCCTCAAATAAACAAAAGACACCAGGAAGGAGGGGGGAGTAAGAATAGATGTGGGCCTCATGCTGATGCAGGCAAAGCTTATTGCTGGTGCTCCAAAACCACATGCCCCAACACACACACACACACACACACACACACACACGCACACACACACTCATGCACACCCCTTCAGACAGCCAGCCATGAACACACATGGAGACATAAACACACAACCCATGTGGAGACATTTACCCAGCTGTCATGCACACAGACACACAATGAAACACCACTAGGCCCCCCACCCACTGAAAACTGGGACCTTTATCAGCTGCGCTGCTACGTGACCATCCTTGCTGATAGAGCCCCCTGGGACCCAGAAGGACCCCATGCACCAGCCCACAGCTGGTGGGAGGAGGGTGATGAGGAAGGTGCTGAGGTGGGACCCACCTCAGAGTTCTCCACCACCTTCTCCAGGTACTGGTTGAAGATGGAGTAGTCCTGCAGCTTGTTGCTCAGCTGCTGATGCTCTAGCTGCAGGGCCGCCATATCCTGCTTGGCCTTGGTCAGCTCCCGCAGGTGATGCCTCTTGAGTTCCCGCTCCTTATTGGCTTTCTTTAGGGCACGGATTCGCTTCTGGTCATTCTCCTGGGATGAGAGAGGTGGTGTGGGTGAAGCTGTCTTGCCTTGCCCTCCCTGGGTCGCCTGCCTGCTGGGGGCTGGTGATGCCCTCAGCCTTCTCTTCCTGCTGAGCCCAGGCATTGCTGGGTCACCCGTGTAGGAGAAGAGGTGTGGAGGGAAGACATTTCTAGGGTTATCTGAAGCTAAGTTTTGGCTATCTGAAGCTAGTTCTTGAAGCTAAGGAATTTCTGTTAACTGAGATACAGCTCAGGGGGGCTGTGAGAACAGAGATTTAGTTCAAAGTCAAGAGATGGCCTTCTGAAGGGCAGACAGGAAATGATTTAGATTCTGTGGGATTTGGGCTCTGGACTTCAGAGAACAGCGGAGGGAGAACCCAGGAGTAAAAGGATAGAGGAAGACCCATATTGCAGTGGGCTCGGTGCCTGGAAAGAACTCACTCCTGGGGAAGGCTGAGAAAGTCCAGAAGTGGGAGCTGGAGCCCTTCTGACAGAGCTTCCATTGTTTCTATCCTGAGTAGTGGCCGTTTGTCAGGGGGCAGATGGCTGGGCCAGGGTCGGGAGATCCAAATTTTCTCCTGATTTGGTACTCAGTGCCTCAACTTCTCCAGCTACTGAAATGTGAAACAATAGCCCCTTTCTTCCTTGCAAACTGTCGGCAACAGTGATTATACACAGATGAAACATGTTCCTAGGAGCTTAGACTAGCATCAGCGGGGGCTGCAAGAGATGGTTTGGGTAATACCATTCCCAGAAAGGAAGAACAAGGCTCAGCTCCTGCATTCTGAGTCCACTTTCTTCCTTCTGCAAAGCCCACTCTGTCCACTGCTCTCCTGTGTCTCCTTTCTCCTCTCAAGGGTGCCCATGACCAGACATGCACGGACAGGTGCGATGGCAGCATTTGGAGGACATGGAAGTAGGCACATGGAGGATATGTGCTCTGCCATGTAAGCACAGGAGGAGACAGGAGCTCTAAACTAATGGTTTGCCAATCCACTTTTGAATTAAAATCATCTGGGGAGCTTAAAAGTACTGTTGATGCCTGGGCCCAACCTCAGACCTACTGAAAGCAAAGAGGAGGGTCACTGGAGTTGTGTTTTTGTAACAAGCTCTATGGGATACCAAAGCTTCTGACCCTCTGAAAATAATTTGAAGCACCTTCCACCTCAAATCTCCTGCTACCCACCGGTTTTTATCTGGCCTCTAAAATATGGACAGGACCTCAGGAGAATTTGCCCAGCTTGCCAACTTCTTGTCCTTCATGGTTGGGCACAGAGTGTGACTTAAGAGCAGAGGTACTTTGCAGGACAGAGCAGCAATTAGTTCTCATGTAGCTGCGCCAGGACTTCAGGGCTCCCTAAGTGCCAACAGAAGCAGATCCAAATATATCTGGATTTTAAGATGATTAAATCCTGAGAGGCTGAGGCAAGAGGATTGCAAGTTTAAGCCCAGCCTCGGCAAATTAGGAAGATCCTGTCTCAAAATAAAAATTTTAAAAGGACTAGTAAAATAACCCAGTGTGAAGCCCCTGGGTTCAATCCACAGTAACACACACACACACACAATTGTTTCTCTAAAGACTGATGAGGAGGGTTGTCTTGGAATATTCTCTGCTGTATGGTCCTTCAACAGTTCCCCACCTTCATCAGTCCCCCACCTTTGGTTTAAGGAGAAAAAAGGAGAGTGTGTAGAGGATTAAAACCTCCACTTCATTCATTGTATCCCCAAGTGCTTGTCCCTGATGGGCACATCTATCCATCCACCCATCCATCCATCTATTCATCCATTCATTGACTGGATAAACTGTATGGCAAGGAAATAGGAAACAGCCACGGCGCGGGGGTGGTGGGCAGAGACAGGGTAAACAGGAAATTGCAATCAATGCAATGTGGAAAGATATAAAGGATGTCTGTAGAAGCACCAAGCATAACTGGAGCACTGAGAATACTTTTAACCCAATGAGAACCCTGCAGAAATGAGGAGGAGAAGGAGAAGGAGGATGAAGAGAAGGAGGAGGAGGAAGAGGAGGAGGAGAAGGAGTTGGGGGGGAGACAATTGCTGGTCTGCATAGCATGGCTCCCCTGGCCCGCTGCAGCCCACACCTTTCAGACCTGGATGAATTGCTCAAACTTCTGGATGTGGGCCTTCAGCTGCTCTTCCTTGATGCCCAGTTCTTCCCAGCGCAGCTTCAGGGTTTCCATTCTGTGCTTAAATGTCTTCAGGATGCAGGAGCAGAGAGGTCAGGAGAACCCCTGACATGAGCACTCAGGAAGGCCCAGCATCCCCTCTCCCAAAGTCTCTGTCCCCAGGTGCAGGGAGGCCTCTCACTTTGTACCCTGTGCCTGGCTCAGTTTAGAGGATCTCAGGACACTGATATTCCCAAGATTTAGGACTTTTCTGTTCTCCTCAGGAAAGAGACCAGAGCTGCTGGCCAGAATCCCAGCTCTAGCTACCCCCACCCACAAGATGGAGGCTGTCACCCTGAGTCCCAGACAGCTCCTCTCCTATCCTGCACCTCTGCTCCCATCCCTGAGTTCCACCACCTCACCTCCTTCTTTTGTTCCATAGCCTGATGCATGGCTACAGCCTCCTTCTTCTTTTCCAGGAGCTGGATGGATGGCGATTCTGACTGCTTATCAACAGTGGGGAACTTCCTGCCCAAGATATGGGCAAGAGAAACAAGGGGGTTATGAGGCTGGGGCAGGCTGGGGCAGGATGTGACACCGGGAAGGACTTGCTGGTGTTAGGGGAGCAAGTAAGGGCTGGGTTATGGGGGTCTGGTGTCAGAGGATGGGGCAGGGTGATTGAGAGTACTGGGATACAGGAACGGAGGGGATAAGTCGGTGGAAGGTGGGGAATGGGGTGGGTGAAGGGATAGGACAGACCCAGCCCCCAGACACTCACTGTAGCAGGTGTAGCAGCCGCTCCTCATACTGCAGCCGGAAGTACTCAGCCAGGTCTTTCTCTTCCATGATGCCCAGACTCATGGTGGCAGTGACCTAACCACACAGGCGGCAAGTCTTCACAGTGAAACAGTAGGTGACAGGGCCACCAGGGGCGGGCGATGCTCGGGGTGGTGGCTGGGCTCTGTCTCTCCTCTCCTTTTGCTTCCAGAGTCTCACAGTGGGTGGGTGTTTGAGAGACTTAGCAGAAGCCAACTAGAGGCCCAGGGTGGGCAGCTCAGGACCATGTGTTGGGGTGGTGATGGGAGATCTGGTTACTTAGCAACAGGTTGCTTAGTTCTGTGGGCAACTGGAACCTGGGCTTTGCCCTCAGACCTCTGGTCCCAAGCACCCTGCTCTTGCTGGAGTCTAGCTCTGTTTCTGCTCTCATGTCTCTGGAATTTTGCAGGAAGTTAGGCCAGATTTTATACTTGTTGCCATGGTGCCCAGGCAAGGGCTGGGTGTCCCGCAGAGAAGGGCGATTTGGCAGAGGAGTGAAGTGGAGTATGCAGAGCCAGGCTCCCGGGGAGGGCGGCTCCCCTCCCCTCCGGGTGCAGAGGGGTAAGACCACCGACAGATGGCCAAGGTGGCCAAGAAGAAAGGGGAAGAGAAGGCGCTTGGCAGAGGGTGCGGGGGGTTGTGGGGACCGAGATGTGTGGGGCCTGTGGGAAGAGAAGGTGGGTAAGGGAGTACGTGTGTGGAAGGCGGGCAAGAAGCCCAGGAAACAAGGAGGAGACGCCACGGGGCCTGGGGAAGAGGCCCAGGCGGAGTGAGTGGCTCCCGGGGAGGGGGCGGCGCGGGGCCAGGTCTTGAGATGGAAGGGAGGGGGGAAAGGGAGCGAGGAAGAGAGAAAGGACAGAAAATAGAGGGGAAAAAGAGAGAAAGAACGCGAGAAGGAAAGAAAGAGAAGGAATGGAAAAAGAGAGAAGAAATGCCAAAACACAGACACGAAAATGTCCCCTATCCGAACGGTTTATTGTGATGACTGCCTTCCTCGAGCCCATCAGCGCACAGAAACTCACTTAGCCTAGTAAATTCGAGGCCGCGGGTGCGGCGGTTGCCTGGGGACTCGCCTCGCGCGGGACCCGGCGGTGACCTCCACCGAGCTGTCGGCCCGCGCTAGCCGCTCCGCCTCGCTCCTAGGTCCAGAGCCGGAGTCCGAGTGGGGTGCGAGGGGGTCCCGGGCTGGGGCGGGGTCCCGAGCTCGGCAAGCCCACCCCCACCACATTGCCGGTCCTCCGGCGCCCCCCGCTGGCCGTCCTCACCCGGCGCTTAAATCCGGGCTGGGAAGGGGGCGGGACGGATGTTGGGCCCAGCTGCCCACCGGCCCCGTCTTGCCCACCCGGCCCACTTTGCGGAACCTCAGCTCCAGAACCTGCTGTAACACATACCCTGTCGCTTCTGGCCAGGGTGGTGGGCTCGGCAGAGGCCACAGGGCAAACCCCACCCCCACCATCCCCATCCCACCTTAAGACCCCGAACCGGAGACGCTTCTCCGCTTCTCCACCCGAGTGTCCCGGAGACCCAAACCCGGCGGGGCGACAATGGGAACAGCAACAATGATTCTAAGATCCGCAGAGGGGAACGTTTCTCTCCTTGTTTGTTCAGAGAGTCTGGCACAGTCAGGGGGTCCCTGCCCTTCCCCCTGACATAGTAGCTCATATGCCAGTCCTTGCGAAGAGACTGCTTCTGCAATCATCTGCTTGCTTGGTGTATGTAGAAGATACAGCTTCTGGTCTGTTGAATGGGAGCGGCGGCAGGGGCTGGGGCAGGGCCACGTTGCTCCTTACCCGGTGGTCCATCCAGGTGTACGACATCCCCTTCTGCCCTTGTGTCTCCTCATGTCTGGAAGGTCTTTCTGCTGCTTCATTTGATCCATGCCACGAGTTATGAGGTTCTTGATCCCTTCGGCTACCATCACCCCTCTCTCGGGTCCCCCCAGTGTGGAGCAAGGCGCAGGAGTCTGTGTTCTCTCCCTTCTTTGCCTCCCCGGGAAGCCCTGCTCCGCCGCACCAGGGATTGAACCCAGAGCCTCCACACTGAGCTACATCTCCTGGTCTTTTTGTTTATTTTATTTTAGAGACCAGACAGGGTCTTGCTAAGTCTCTAAATAGTCCAGGCCGCCCTGGACCTTGTGATCCTTCTGCCTCTGGGGTAAAATCTATTGGATTTAGGTTCAGCATCTAATGGATTTAGGTTGCTAGAAACCAAGAGATATATTTTGATTGCTGTCCTGTTCAGTCCTCCCTCTGAGATAGTTATCTGCTTAAAAGGAAAGAAGAGTATCAGGAGAAAAAAGACATAGGTTAAGCCAGGTATAGCTTTGAGTTTGAGCCTTAGTACCACAATAACAAAAATTATTATTCTGGCGCACAGAGCAGCATAATGCTGGGTGCACAATCTCTCTGCTCTCCTGGGAGATTCTCCTCTAGTCAGTTATTGGGAGTCTATGCTCCTTCTATCTTGCAGCTCCAACAGGGACCTCCAAGGTCACTGGGGAAGGGGAGAGAGAGAGAGAGAGAGAAAATAGGGAAGAGCCCTGGCCCCGCCCCGCCCTTAAAAAAAATCACTGCCTTCCCTTACTGACCTCTGGTAGGAGCTGGGCACGTAGCTACTTACATTGTAAGGGACTGGAAATGACATTTCCAGGAAGGGGAAATTGTTTTGATGAACATCAAATCAGTTTGTATGGTATTCTTGTTGAGAATTATAAGGATGTTTGGAAATAAGCTGACAACAGATCTTAATAAAGAACCCAATGGCAGACAAAGGAAGAAAAAAGGAAATAGGACAATCATAATTTCACATATAAAAGTCTTAAGGGAAACGTTATTCAATTTAATTTAGTGCACACAATCTCTTGGACACTCTTGGGAAATTCTCTTCCACTCAGTGACCAAGGATGTAAGCCTCTTCCATCTTTTTTTCTTTTTTGGTACTGGGAATTGAACTCCGGGCCTTGTGCTTTTGAGGCAGGTGGTGGAACCACTGAGCTAAATCCCTGATCCAAGCCCTTTCCATCTTACCATGCCATCGTAATCAGAAGGACCTCTAAGTTAAACAAATGATTTTTAAAAAGTAATTCACCAGAGAGTAAATTACAAAATGGTTTAATATTTGGAAATCTATTAATAAAATTAGTTCTATCAATATGTCTCAAGAGAAGAGTTGCAATTATTGTGATAGATGCCAACCTAGCATTAAAAAATTTAACATCCATCCTTTAAAAAATACTACTAGCATACAAAGCCGCTTTATTAACGTGATACAAAATTGAAAACCCAACAGATAATATGAACATTTCCATTAAAGACAATTTTGTTACAGACACAACAGGCTTTCTGCTGTCACTTCAATCATTTAACATTGTTTTGGATGTACTAGATATTGCAAAAAGGGAAGAAAATTAAGTTTTTCTTTTTTTACACTATGGCAGATGCTGTGATCATGTACTGTGAAAATCTAGAAGAATGATTAATTAAAATGATTTGAATTCTATGTGATACTATGCAATTTATTAGTAGAATGAAGTTGATTTACATGTGTGGATATGGAGAGGTATTAATGACAAATTATGTGACAACACCCAAATGCAGAGCAGTATGTGTAATGTGACTGAGTGTGTGTGTGGGGGTGAAGGGTAGGTAGAGAAATAGCTGTAGACGGATGTTTACAAGACCTCCACAGACAGGAAGGCAAGGGGGGTAGGGAGTTGTTTTCAATGGGTCTTCCTTCTTCTACCTTTATATTGTTGTTTGTTTATATTGTCCTGTATTTTTTATTTTTTTCAGTGACTATGTATTAGTTATGTAGTTTTGAAAAAAACTATAAAAGAAAAATATATACATTTGTATGGGCATCAACAAAAGAATATTAGAAATTTAATGAGCTATATGGGACTTTACAAGGAAAACATAGGGCTGGAGGGTGTACCTCAACCCTTAAAAAGCACAAGGCCCTGGGTTTGATTCTCAGCACTAAGCAAACAAATAAACAAAAAACAAAAATTTTAATGGGGTATGGAAAAGAAGACTTGAATAGATTTATAGCATTTCTGAATGATGACTCAATAGTTGAAAGATGTACATATCATCCAAATGAATTTAGGAAATTAATTGATTACAATCCAAATCCCAGAGAGATTGTTTTTCCCTCCAAAAGCTAACAAAATAATGTAATGTTCCTCTAGAGAGTCAAAGAAAGAAAATATTAAAAAGAGAAGCAGAGGAGGAGGAGGAGAAAGAAGAAGAGGAAGAGGAGGAGGAGGAAGGAAAGCAGGAAGGAGAGCAAGTGGAGAAGAAAAAGGAGGAGGAAGAGGGAGAGGAAATGGCCACTGCTAGATTCTAAAAAGGTTTCTAAAGATGAAAGTGTAAAAACACTGTGTTGGCTGGAGCACTACAGGCAGAAAAACTCAAGAGCCCTAAATGTTTGGACAAGTCACTTGGCTCATCAATTGCCTAAATTCACAATGTTAGGATACACCTCTGGCCAAAGACAGTGTCTGAAGCCTGAGAATAATTATTGGCTCTAAAATACAAGTGACCTAAGCACAAAATAGAGAATAGCTATTTAATGAGATGCATGCAAATGTAACATGCCAGCTTCTTGAAGTGTTAACTTTAGCATTCATACAGCATTTCACACATTTGAGAGTAATCTGTGGATTTGATTTCTTCACTTTTCAAGAATTCCCAATTATGCAGACTTTTGGGGGAAAAAAAGGTGAATTGTGAATTAAATGAGTTACTCAGACATATAATTTCAAAAGCAAAATTTTAAGAATCCTTTTGCTTCTTTTTACTCCATATTATTCTTAATATCAACTGGAGCCTATTTTAGTCTTTGTTAATGGAAGTGTTTAGGGTTTAGCCCTGTTCCCTTCAGGGCTGGATTATCTAAAGATGGCCGGGGTTGTTTTCACTCATACAATTGTGCAAAGTCAGTGGCTTCTTCGAAGCCAGCCATCTTTTTATTGTTATTTAAGTTTTTAAATTAAAATTTTTTCTTCTTTAACTTAGTAGACACCACCTTACCTAAATGATCACCAGCAACAGGATATGTGAATGTTATGCTCCCAGCCATCCTTCCCCAGGGGGGTTCTGTTTTGTTTGGGTCGTTTGCTGAGACTGAGGAGGGAAAGCCTCACTCAGAGATAGGTTCAAGGGCCACTTACAGGGAAAGGATGAGGAGGAGCGCTGCTTGTATTCGTCTCACTGGCTAGTCTTGATTTTGGAGAACCTGAAATGTTAAGTGTCTCCCTGTGCTGGTCTGATTTCCCAATGCTGGTGTTTCTGAGAAGACAGCTCCCAGTGGTTCAAACTAACAGCTCTGCTAGGCAGCCGCTGAAATAATCGCTTTCCTCATGACCTCAGATGTTCCAGGAGTGTGATCTGCTTATATCAGGAAGATGGCTGACACTTTCTGTCCATCTGTAGAAGCTACTGTTGGTGTCCTGGTCACTGAGGAGAGGCCTAAGTGAGTAAGAGGAAGCTTCTCATGCTCTGACCCTATTGTTCCACTCACCATATTCTTCCTGCCTGGCCCTTCAGCAAGGACAGTTTACTTTATTTCCAGTACCCCAATAGTCATGCTTCTCAGTCTTTATACATCAAATCTGAATTTAAAAAATTATTTTGCTGTGGTGGGTATTTAACCCAGGGCCTTGCACATATGCTAAACAAGCACTCTGTCCTTGACCTAAATCCGATTTTTTAAAAAAGAAAATATTGTCTCTGAATACATACATCTGTAGTAGAAGTGTGAACTACTACTGGAAATGATAACTAACCAATTCAGGATGCTGGTTATTACCTCTTGGTGGTGGTGAAGGAAGGGATATAGGACTATGGCAGATTAT